ATTAGAATTTATTACCTCAATTGATTGACTTACGCAGGTTGTCATTAAACCAAGGTCTATCCATGCTATTAATTGATAAAAAACAATGCCAATTTAATTTGATAAACTCTCCTTAACCTCATTTGGTAATTTGATGTCAACGTTAATACGATACTTAGACTTAAGTAAAAAGATGTTTTGATCATGACCTTTGTGCCATTGTTATGTTTTTTAATATTATTTTTTAATAAATAGCTTTTAAATAAAAAACATTTAAGCACTGTAATTGTTCGAACGGACAGATTAGTTAGCCTATTCATTCCACCAACATTGACACCGTAAATGCGCGTTTTTGGAACCATTCTTTGAACTTTTCTTGAATATGATACATTGGTCTTTCATATGCATTTATTTTTTACAGCCAGGAACTACTCGCCAAAAAATTATCAACTGTCAGAAATCTGTTGTACTAACTTCCGTCATCCTTTTGACAAGTTTTAGAAATCTTTAGAAGAGTTTTAGAAATGGTTAAATTCCTAGTTCTCATGAGGGATGGGATGATATGCCCCGATTCAGTAATTATTCAATCAAGATTCAAGGATATACTTTACAGTTAGCAATGTTTCTACTCATCGAGGTAGATGGACTAGAATAAGAATTTATGTACTGGGTCATTATAGTAGCCGAGACAACACAAGTCGTCTGTATATTTACTCTCATTTCTTCAATTTTAAGAGTTAAGTCACCACAATTTGCATACATATTCACAGGAGAAATCCTAACATATACTTTTATTGGTTTTAATTATAATTTATAAGTTTAAAATAGGGAAACATTTGATTTTGTTTTGTCTATAACCAAAATTTGCCATGTTGTGCAACAAATACAACATTTTGACGTAATTAATATAAGTCTCTACTTTTGGTGTAATGACTCGAAAATGACCAAATCTTTTCTTATTCAGCACAAGTGTAACTGTTTTGAGTAATTGAGACATTTCCGAGAAAAATGGTATGCAGAAACATGATATTTCAAATATAACTATTTAAATATAAGATGTTGCATTTGTCGCACAAAATGGAACATTTTGATTATAGACCATTAAAAATCAAATGTTTCCCTATATTTAAGAAATGAATTATAATCAACTCAATAAAAGTCTATGTTAGGATTTCTCCAAGGAATGTGCATGCAAAATGTGGTGACTTAACTCTTAGAAGTGAAGATATGAGAGTAAATGTACAGACTTGGCACTTGTGTTGTCTCGGCTACTAGTTTGAGTTACCAGGCTCATTTTCGTATAACTTGAACCCGATCAAGAACACGCGTCTTAGGAGTGATTTGGTGTATGAGCGAAGCTGCCCAGTGAATACAGACGTTTGTTTATGCATGTAGACAACCCAATTTGATCGAAACTGGGGTTTCATATGAAACATCATCAAAAGAGCTTAATACATGTACAGAATTAGCGACGATATTTAAGCACGGTGGATAAAGTCCCATGGAACGAGGACCAAGTGATTGAAGAGTTGAAGCGATGGTTACGTCCGCCATTTGTGACAACGGTATCTGACTTTACCGTTGTCAGGCTATTCCGGTGTGTGTAGATGTTAATAAGGCATATGCAGACGTATAATTACGCCTGTGTAGGTAAATTAGGCATGTGTGGCCACAAATTACGCCTAAGTAAACCTAAATTCTACAGGCGTCCAAACAAAAATACAGGCGTAAATTACTGATTCTATCGTCAGAGTGACCCTCCACGTCACCTCAAGCTGTGGACGTTTGGCTGATATGCGGGCCGTAGTAGTATGCCACACAGAAAGCTGAGAATTCGACATCCCCTCTTGATTTTCCCAAAACTACCTTTTAGCAAATTTTTTTGCGTCTCCGTTATTTTTTTTAGCTTGAGCCACAAATAATAATAATGAAAAATTAAAAATCGTAGCTTCGATGTTCCGACATTTTGTTACCGAAACGAACCGTTTCGGTAACCAGCGTAATCGAGTGGACCACCAGCTGACCAGTGAATGATGAAATCAGACAAGTAATAAGAAATCGCAGAGGGGGGGGGATGAGGGGGCCTTGCGACTTAGTGTTATAAAAAAGGTTGCAGACATTAGGGTTAAAGGAAAGAGTCACATTAGTGAGTTTGTGAAACAATGTCCTAACCATTGCTAACTTTTTAAAATTTTCATCTAATTTTAAGGATTTCTACCAGTTATTTACAACATTTGGACAATATGCCTTTAAAATTATACAAACTTTTGAAAATCATAAAGGAGTGGTATCGATATGGAGAACTGAATTCAACAATGTTTTTCTCTCAAACCAATCATTGAAAACATTCTGTAAAAACACGGTGTTTTATGTAATGTTGACTGATTGACATCAATTTAATGCGAAAATTATTTAGAAATATTTTATGTAACTGTTTTTGCTAACACTTTTTGTTTTTTTTGTGCAATTGTTTTTGCTCCGTTCTACCAATTCTTGAGAATGAAATATATAAAATGTCTTTCCGAACCTTGTTTGAACAAAAAAGCATTATAGTTATACAGAGGAACTTTTGGTTGATTTTAAAAAAGTATTCAAAAAATTAAAACAAAATCCCCCAAAATAGATAAAAATCAAGATAAACCTTTTATTTCATTAACAAGATACTTTTTTAAAATCAACCACAATTTCCTTTGTACAATTACAATATTGAGAGACCTAAACATGTTGCGGTTATGTCGTTTTGTCCAATGAGGTTCGGAAAGATGATACCAAGAACAAAACAAGTGTTTGGTGTGTTTTCTAAAACAATATAGATGAAAGTATATATATATTTTTGAAATTATATTGTAACCATTCAAAAGATGACCATTAAATTGACGATGTGTTAAAGTTTTAGATTTTTTATGACTGGTTTAAGAGAAACGTGTGTTCAAAAAGTTCTCCATATCGATACCACTCCTTTTATTATTGATAAAGGACCTTTGATAATGCACCCTTTTTTACAAAAATGATGAATAAAAGATGGGGCAAATTATTATATATTATATTATATATTTTATTGTTTCTCTATTTTGCACGACCGGATAAGTAGACGGTATAAAAAGACTGTATCCATGGATGGAAAATACATTTAAATCTACAAAATCTCAAAACAATGAAGAGACTCTCGCATAGCAAATTGTATCACGATAGCTTGAGAATCAAAAATATGTTCTATATAAATCATTGTCAATCAGTCTAGTTCATTATAACCGCTTGCAGACGAGGTGCGAATGTTTCCGTACATGCGTACTCACGCCCGGTGATCGGACAAAATGGATAGAGGGGGGGGGGGGGGATTAGGCGATTTCTGCAAAAAAACTCAACAAATTTGGAAAATTAATTTTTTCAAGAAAAAATTATTATACAAAAAATAATCGAAATGAATTAATATTGGATGGAGGGGGGGGAGTGGATGGAGGGTGCGGGGAATAACGTGTATTTAAGACATGATAAGACAATCAATCAATCTGTCAATCAATATAGTTCATTATAACCGCTTGCAGACGAGGTTATCCTGCGAATTAATCGAGCGAATGATTCCGTACATGCGTACTCACATCCGGTGATTGTACAAAATGGATGGAGGGGGGGGGGGGGGGTTGGGCGATTTCTGCAAAAAAAACTCAACAAATTTGGAAAATTATTTTTTTCAAAAAGAAAATTTATTCTACAAAAATTATTCGAAATAAATTAATATTGGACGGAGGGGGGAGTGGATGAAGGGTGCGGGGAATAACGTGTATATAAGACATGATAAGACATGCTACTTGAATTAATTCTTATGACTTCAACTTTTCCCATTTTTCATTCTCCAGAGATATAATATCTAGTTTTTTACTGGGGTACTGAGATTAGTTTTTTCAAATACACGAGTTCTTGTGAATTTGTTCCATCGTAAAGACATATAAATCCCCCCCTCCATCCACTCCCCCCTCCATCAAATATTAATTTATTTCGATTATTTTTTTGTATAAAGCATGGAAACTAACTTTAAAAAGTGAGCAATGTCATTAGAATTGTGATAATAACGTCCCGTATACTATTTATTACAGGTCGTGTAGACCATTGTTGCCCGATTTATAGCAAAAACATTGACTTTTGCACGTTGGTGATGATGCGCCTTTTTAATAGATCTCATATCTTAGAAGGGTATAAGTTAAAAAAAAATACCAGAAGACCTAACATATTTTGCCATGCACTGGGCCTATTCATTTGGCATTTCAGTTGTAAATTTTCTCGAAAAAATATTGAGTTTTCTTGCAGAAATCGCCTAATCCCCCCTCTATCCATTTTGTACGATCACTGGGCGTGGTACTTTCAAGAATATAATCAAGGACGTCTATTATAATGAACTCAGTATACATGAAACCAAAGATTCTGTGACTGAACTTTTGTTAGCATGCTAGTAGTTTGCATCTTAACATAATCTGAACGTATGTTAATTAAGTTGATCATGAAAAACCAAAGACCAAAACCCCTTTCCAGGCAATAGACAGAACTGACAGAGAATATTCTATGATATCACTACGTCTGTGAATTCTTAGAAGATGGCGGCCCATATGTAACGAGCACTGCATCTTTTGAATGACCAATTTGAACCATATCAAAATTTTCTCATTTTCGTAAGATACGGATAGTACTGTATTAAATGGTCTAAAGAGAAATTGACAAAGGACAACCCTAAAGAAGGGGGGAGGGATAGAGGAGAGTTGAGAGTAGTTTTGAGAAAGAATTAAACAATATTTTTGCTCATTAACAATCCGATCTATCCTTTTGATTCGTTCAAACTGCAAATTCAAATAGGTTTTTATCAAAGGAAATGATATCAAAGTACATTCAAATGAACTTAAACGGCGCTGGTTTATCAGATAAAAAAGGGGACAAAACGGGGCGGGTGACTGTAATAAAGCACATGTACATATACCCACGATTGCATGTATATATACTAGGTCATGTGTTCCATATTGTTACTTGCTCGGTAACAATATGAAGCTGCTTGTGTCATTGGTCGCTTTTGCACTTTACTTTGCAGTAGCCAGTGCGTAAGTTGAAAGGAGTGGTATCGATATGATGAACTTTTTGAACACTTGTTTCTCCTAGACCAGTCATCAAAACATTCTGAAGATTTCACACATCGTCAATTTAATAGTCATCTTTTGGATGGTAACATTATAATTTGAATTTTAAACATATTCTTTTCTCTATATTGTTTTAGAAAACACATAAGACACTTCTTTCGTTCTTGGTATCATATGTTCGGAATGAAATGAAACATCTATCCGAACCTCATTGGAACAAAACGACATGAACAAAACGTGTTTAGGTTTATCAAAATTGTAATTGTACAGGAAACTTTGGTTGATTTTAAAAAAGTATCTTGTTATTGAAATAAAAGGTTTATCTTAATTTTCATCTATTTTAGGATGTTTTGTTTTCAGTTTTTGCATACCTTTTGTTAAATCAACCAAAATTTCCTTTGTAAAACTATAATATTGAGAGGTCTAAGAAAATGTTGTATATGCTATTTTGTTCAAACAAGGTTCGGAAAGACATTTCATTTCATTCTCAAGAACTGGTAGAAAGGAACAAAAAACTATTGCACTTAAAAAACAAAAAATGTTAACAAAACCAGTTATGTTAAATATATACAACTAATTTTTGCATGAAATTGTAGCCAATCGGTCAACATTACATAAAGGACCGTGTATTTTTACAGAATGTTTTCAATAATTGGTTCAAGAGAAAAATATTTTTGAATTCAGTTCACCATATCGATACATTTCTTTTTTCAATTGTCTGTTTACTACATCTAGGAAGATTTAAAGAAGATTTTAATCGTCTATGTTTCCATAACATTATGTTACATTATAATGCTTTATAGTGATTATAACGATAGGAATAGCACAAGAGGCTATTGATTGTTTATTCCAAGTCTTTTCCTGTTGGTTGTCCAAATCGTGTTACTAAAAAAGCGTTGCAGAATTTATTTTATTGTTTTATTTATCAAGAAAGTTTAAACAAAATACAACGTATTCCTGACGTTTTGCAACATTGGCGCCAAGCTTTTAGGCCTCCTCCTCCTCCTCCTCCTCAGATATGATCGAATTTACTAAACGCAGCCTTGGTCTATCTTGCGAATATACTAAATGCGAGTAGAAATAATCTTGATTTACGTTAATGAAAATTCAAAATTCAGTCAAAATGATATCATATTTGAAATCAACATGTAAAATTACAGCTAGAAGTAATGGTTTTGAAAGCCGCGGTTGATATATTGTATTTCCCTCAGATAGACCCTGTATCAAAAACCTCGCATTTAATAACCTCTATATATTGGACAGATACTATTTTCTTTTAATGAACATATTTTAATTTGTGTAATATCAGGAACATAAGGGAAATATGAAAATTGAACCACTAAAAGTTTTGAATATTCAAGTTTAGAGAACTTTCTCATTCCCCGCAATACAGCAGTAGATGAAAGCAAATACGTGTTTGAAAATTGTGAAAACTATATTTGCCCTAGTCTCGACTAACTAAAAAGCCAAAAGATGGATTAGTGATGAATAACACAAGAGTTACATTCTTGAGCCTCGGGTTAAATCTGTTTCATGCAGTTATGATTTCCCGCATTCATAATTGTAGACAAGTGAACGAAAATCTCGTCGATTTGCTGTGGACCCGGGCCGAACTTCTCCGACAACAGCCGAACGTGAGCCAACCTTGCGTCAATAGAGACGTATTCCAAGCATTGTTTCTGAGTTACGACAGTGATGGTTAGTACTAGTAGCCTTCCAGACACCATAAACACACTGTATGGGGATATAATGGTATTCACTATGTGGGCATCTTAACTCAAAATTCAACTTGAACAAATTTACAGTCATTTCATTTTATTTTGACAGAGTTGTATCCTATTTCATTGTGCATGTTTAATGGACTAGCTATTTATCATATTGTCTGGTGCCAGAGATTTGTCTTCAAAATGAATGATATTACAAAGGTTTCGCATAGCATATTTTTGGTAAAACGATTCTCTATTTTATTGGTGTTTATCTGACAATTACTGACATACGTTACGTCGTATTCAACGTCCATAAACAGTCAAATGACATCAATTTATCTCGGAACCCAGGAGGATGTTTTAGTTTTTATCGAATTAAACTTCGTTATAGTTGACGTAATGCTTTGATATTTCAACTCTATCAGTTGTATTTGACATCGAAACTCTGGAGTGTGATCATTTGTCCATATAAGCTTACCATGCGTAGACACCACAGTTCAACGATAACCGCTTAAGGGAAGATAACTGGGATTTTGGTTTTACAGATGACGAGATAACTGATATGCGGTGATGCGGTAACGTTATGAGAGTTCATAATGGAGAGCTTACATGTCCAGTTACCGTAATTGAAAACTAACACGACCGTTACCGCATTTCATATTTCCATTAAAGTTTCCTTAAGCGGTGGAAGATATTGTTGAACTGTGGCACCCACGCACAATCACAGGGAACGGGACGTATCGAAACCACTAAGTCCCGCAAAGCCGCTAATTTAAGTTGAATTTTAAACCTACCAGGTGTTTGAAAATCAAGGATTGTGACTCTCACACTACTGCACCGTTTTTCATCAAACGTGTCCCATTCAGACCTTCACAGAAATACCTTTCAGATGATAGGCCTACAATGCTTTTGTGTACAGATTCCCTCGTTTTAGCGGCGTTTTGGTCCCCAGCTGTGAGATCAAGGAAATTTTCATAGATTTCAACTTTAAGTCTACACGTAGTTATCTCGCCAGTCTTTTACTCATTCTCGCCCATAATTTCAGAATGAACCCCCATCACAACCCTATATCACCACGTCTTTATTTTTGGGCATTAAACGCAGCAGTTTCAAAATCACCCACACATCTGTTCAAAGGACGATTCTCGGTTTGGAGAACAGTCTCCTGGGCTAATAATTTTTTTCATGAAAAATATAGAAATATTACCCAAATTAAACTATGAATATTCAAAAGAGGACATTTAAATCTACAAGATGTAAAAATAACAAATTGGTCTGAAGCAGGGATAACGCTCAATTTGACCGATTCAATAAAATACAAGTCTCGATTTGGGGAAAGAAGTTCATCAGTGTACTACACTAATATTTTTTTGCGAAAAATCTAGAAATATTACCCAAATTAAATTATGACTATTCAAAAGAGGACATTCAAATCTATATTATGTAAAAAAAAATCAAATTTGTCCGAAGCAGGGATAATGCTCATTTAGATTGATGAACTTGGTTCTCCAAACCGAGAATCGTCCTTTGACAAAAACGCTCAGCCGTCTTTCACTACGCCCATGCATTTTCTACATAAATTAACTAATTTATAAATTATCGGCCCAGAGCGTATCAATCAATGTAATGATGTAACTGAAAATGGTCTAACATTGTACTCGACAGAAAGCTTCCACAGTACATTTCATTGCAACATATTGTATCATGCTAAAAGTTGAGACGTGGTAAAGTAATATGGTCAAAACAGGGTAAATCTAGATTAATCTTAAAACACAAGTCGATTGGTGTTTAGAATCTACCATGGCAAACCTACAAATAGTCCATTTGTCACCCCAATATATCCTATAGTGATTTTCATCATAAAATAGCCCATATACACACGCCGGTGATCGTGAAAAATGGGACGGAGGGGGGGGGGCGCAGTCAACTTCTGCTAGAAAATTCAACAAATCTGGAAGATTTATATTTTTTCAAGAAAAGGTTTACTATTGAATTGCTGAATGAATAGGCGCACGCTATGGTAATACTTGTATATGTTAGGTCTTCTGAACCTATACGCTTCTAAGATATGAGATCTGTTAAAAAAGGCACAAGACCACCAACATGCACAAGTCAATGTTTTTGCTATAATCATGCAACAATAGTCACTTGTAATAGATACTTGTAAGTGACGTTATCATAACTAAATTAATGCCATTGCTGACTTTATGGTGACCCAAAAAATGCAACCCTCCATTTCTTCCAATTTTTTCTTAAATGAAGGTTGATTGCTTTGAAATTTGGCACACAAAGAATTCATTCAATGTGGGATCCTCTGGCAAAGTTTTAATAATGTTAGGTTTTCGGATGAATCACATTTCCTTCTTTCTGAACATGTAAACTCAAGAAATAATGTGGGATCACAAATTCCAGATAAAGTGCTTCAAAGGGCCCTTCATTCTGTTAAATGCACAGCTTGGGCTGCAATTTCCAAACATGAAATCATCAGCCCCTTTTGGTTCGAGCATGGGCTTTCAACTAGAGAATTGAAAGCCCATGGTTTGAGGGTGATAATGGCAACAGTGTTACTGTTAACATACAGCGCAATAATGGCATTCCCAGGAAGTTCTGGGCAGTTCTAGAGGGACGTAGAGGCTTCAATAGACAAGAACAGTGGTTCTAGAAGGATGGAGCTACTCCTCACACTTCTAATGATAGCATAACCTGGCTCACTAGTCATTTCTATGAGATGATTATCTCTTCTAGGACTGAGAACCCATGGTCAACCCACAGTCCTGATCTCAATGACCCTGACTTCTATTTATGGGATTACTGCAGTTTAAAGGATAATGCGTATGAAAATAACCCTACCCCAACTGCAGAACTCCAACAAGCAATGGCTGCAAAAATTTGAGCCATACCCATGGGGAAGAATGCATCATGTTATGAACAGTTTTGCTTAGCGAAACAAAGAATGGGCATCGATATGGCGAACTTTTTGAACACACGTTTCTCTTAAAGCAGTCATCAAAAATTTCTGAATATCTTACAAACTGTCAATTTAATGGCCATTTTTGAATGGTAGCAATATAGTTTGAAATAGATAAACATACTTTCATCTATATTGTTTTAAAAAACACATCAAACACTTGTTTTGTTCTTGGTATCATGTTTCCAGAGTGAAATGAAACATCTTTCTGAACCTCATTGGAACAAAACGACATAAACACAACATGTTTTAGGTCTCTCAATATTGTAATTGTACAAAGGAAATTTTGGTTAATTTTAAAAAAGTATCATGTTAATGAAATAAAAGGTTTTTCTTGATTTTTATCTATTTTGGGGGATTTTGTTTTAATTTTTTGAATACTTTTTTAAAATCAACCAAAAATTCCTTTGTATAACTTTAATATTGAGAGGTCTAAAAACATGTTGTATATGCTATTTTGTTCTAACAAGGTTCGGAAAGACATTTCATTCTCAAGAATTGGTAGAAAGGAGCAAAAACAATTGCACTAAAAAAACAAAAAATGTTAACAAAAACAGTTAAATAAAATATTTCTAAATAATTTTCGCATTAAATTGTCAATCAGTCAACATTACATAAAATACCATGTTTTTTACAGAATGTTATCAATGGTTGGTTTATGAGAAAAACATTGTTGAATTCAGTTCTCCATATCGATACCTATCCTTTAAATAAATTCTTGTATTTAAAAAATGAACGCAGTAACTTAGTAAGACCATATGCTAATGATACCCTAACGTTATACTGCTATATACAACACCATTTTTAGCACCATGTAGACCCCAGGCCCAACGCCCAACGTCCAACGCCTTTTTACCCAAACCCTCGGGTCAATGTGTTGTCCTAAAACGTTGTGCGAAACCTAGCCTATTTCAATCTAGGCACAGACCATTGTGACGCAAATTCGATTACTATTCTAGTAACTCATTGTATTATCTTTCAGATGATATGCGGGTCACTCGTGAAGAGTTCGTGCCAAGGTGGCAGGCTAACACCAACATGACAACCGATGATGTGAATGCCCTGTATGACTATATCGTTATTACCGGTGGAGGCAGTCCCAACTTCATTGACGAATCTGATATCGACTTTTTTTACCTATCATTCATAAGCAACAGTACGTATATCGTATTCTTTCTCATGGACTTGAATCTCTAAGGTCAAAAGTATCCGATATAGGCTTCCTTGCTGGTAGAATATAAAGCAGTATAAAATCGACCTGCGAATAATGGCCAAGCTCATCTATGACCCTTGTCAGTCCTAACTGCTCATAAATGAGGGGAAACATTAAAACATTAAAACTAGCCTAAAGGAAGAGGCGCTATAAAGGCCAAACACCCCCATGGTCAAAATGAAATGTATAAAATGTGTAAAATGAAGATTACAATGTTAAATGATTCTTTGGAAAATATCTTTATTTTTTACTTTATTTCTATAATATTAGATAATTGAAATATATATTGCAAAGTGAAGAATAAATATTTGTCAAAATGGAGTAAATATCCTTTTATGCAAAATAAATATAATTAAAACTTGATAGACACATAAATGAATAAATGTATGCAATATAAGGGGAAATGCGTTTGAAGCAGCCCGCGTTAGTAAAGGTGAAACAGTCGATTAGTTTAATAACATGACAACACACATATTTTAGATTGGATGTGATTAAGGATTCCGCAAAACAAAATAGTAATAAGTCGATAATAATAAAGAATAAATAAATGATAATAAAGAAAAATAATATTTTTAGGTGAGGGATGCATCTCAGAGGTAAATTACAAGGCTCGTTGGAGGGAGGTAAGTTACAATTACTTTTGATTCATCCGCTCGTCAGCCAATAACTGTTCGCAATTGCAAACGTTTGGCCAAATTACAAATTTTGCAAAAAATATATTTTTACTAGTACGATTCTGTAAAATATTACGCAGCTGAGTGTCTAGGATATATTCAGCACGCGTTCATTGACTAAAAGTTCTTAAGTGACTTTATTTTTGAACAAAACATGAATTATTGATTCTGTTTTCAGGTCATTGCTGACCTTCCAGACCAGGGTGCCCAAGTCCCTCCTGCCCGGTTGTATAACAAGACACGGCATGTGCCGCCATCTATCGATAGATTAAGATGAACATTTGATATACTGTCGTTTATTAATAATAAACATAAAACTCTTTAAAAACCTAATGACTGTTATAAGGCTGAAAGAAAACGTCCATGACTTCAGGCCCGTAGCCGAGGGGGGGGGGGGGAGGGAGGGTGGTGGTTCGATGAGTCCGAGCCCCCTCCCCGGGTCAAAAATTCTTTCATAATCATGCAGTTTTTCACCATTCTGAACACTTTTCCCATGATTTTTGGCGTCTTAGAATTTCTGCTGCATTTTAACTCAACATACATCTTAATCTTCAGTAACTACAACTCGTCCGATTGCAATAAAGATAAAGAAAGGTAACTTATGGTTAGCAGATGTTCTTAGTAGCGTAACTAGCCAATAAAAGTTTTCAGGCAGAAGTGGCGTCTTTTTATAAGTTGGTTCATTGTTTCAAACTTTACGATTTCGTAAATGAGATAAATGGTACCAAACTGTATGGACAAACTAGGTTGATTGATGTATTATGTTTCGTATGTGAATTGTGAAGTATACAGGCATACGTATTTAGATGTCAAATTATTTGATTCATTTGAAAACAAATGGGATACAAGGCATTAACATTTAATATGTAACCACCTGTCATTTGTTGCAAACACCGAACTCCGGATGTCGTAATATAAGGTTTAGTTTGAGAACTCATAATTACCCTTTCAGTCAATTCATGATATAATGTTCATTGAAGGTAGTTTTTTGGTCATTTTGATCTTACTTTCTAAAACACTGATCAGTATCAAGCGAAGGTAACGGGTGGGTGTTCTAAGATGGCGGACGGTAATTGTCGATTTCGATATTTTTAGTTTTTATCGAATTAAACTACTTTATAGTTGATGTAATGCATTGATATTTGAACCAAATAATATAAGGATTATATGACACGAGAACTGTGGGTGCGGGTGTGAATTAACGTAAACGTAAATCAGGCACGTAATTCACTTTTGCAGTCAAAATAATACAATTACATTACAAAAATAGTGACAACTTTGAAAAAATAAGCGATTGAAAGGACCACTGACATTGCGCATTATATCAATTACGGTTTTTATCGAAAGATTTGTCCGCTACATGGTGCACGGTGGATCAGCATGCTATTTTTCATAAAAACACTATGAACAGTTTATTTTTTAAACTCTGTCGTTTTACTAAAAGCAAATTACCTACTAGGCTTTGGGTCCGTGTTTCTGAGAAATTAAAAATTACGAACTATCATTTAAAAATGTGACATTTCAAACCATGAAGATGTTGCGATGTTCTTATTTAAAGTATCATTCATGTCGAGTTCAGTAACCATGGCAATAACAAATAGTTGAATTTCAGGAAAATTAGGATCCTGTCGTAGATACGATAGGTTGACATTGGCACGCCAGGGAGCTTTTAAAGGCAGCTTAAAGGCAGGACAATAGACCATTCCAGTAAATCATGCCATCTATTGGTTATGATGTCATGCAGAACTAGGATTAAAATATTGCTAATTTTCTTTCATTTTTGCTTACAAAGATTGCTGCCTGTAAAGTATCATAAACCTAGCCAATATACAATAGTTTAAATCGAGGGGAGACGGGCATGTCCAATTCGTTTGCTTGTCTTGTTTTAACCAAGGACGTCCTTGTTTTAACTTACTTAAAAATAACAAAACGGGTAAGTAAAATTTGACAACGAAATGTTGAATACAACTGACATGTATACGTATTCAAAGTCGAATTTAATACACAATATTATACTGAATAAAATAAATAAACAAATGGGTTTTTCAATTTTTTTATTTACTCATACATTCTGAAAGTGCCAAGAAAGCACCAAATAGCATCTTAAAATTGTAAAATTTTCTAGCGAAGTAGGCCACCATCTCCGCCCCTGCCCCCCGCACCCCCAAATAATTTGAAAAAATGATTTCATCAAATAGCACCTTGATATGATCAATGTTAACTGGGGGACAAACAAACCCCTTGACCCCCTGGGGGCCCGGGCCCCCTTACCTTGGGTGGACCCAGAAAAAATTTGGGCCAAAAAGGCCTGAAAGCCCCAAAAGTGGGCCTTTTTGGTCATTACTGGGCCTTTTAAAGCCTTATTTTTAATTTCAGGCCAAATTTTGAAAAATGGGCCTCAAAATTTGGGCCCAATAAAATTTTGTGTTTTAGGGGCCCAAGTTTTTTTCACTGACCTGAAATTTGCCCCCCCCCCTTATTGGTTCCCAGATCCGCCCCTGCCCCCCTCTGCCACCCAATCCCACCCCACCTCACCCTCTCATCCTCTTTGACACCCATCCTCAAAACATTAATTGACTCATAAACTTTGAAATTGCCCAGAAAACATCTAAAAGGTGTACATTTTTTCAGTGGAGCGGGTCAATCCTCACCCCCCCCATACAATGACACTTTAAAAGTGCCGAGAAATCACCGAGTGACATAATGATATCATAAAAGTTTCTGGTACACCACCCCAAAAAACTAAAGCATTCATTCATTTACTCAAACACATTAAAAGTGCTCAGAATTACATGTAACCAGACACCATCCCCTAGATTTGGTTCTAGTTCAAACTGACTTTCTTATAAATTGTAAATAAAAATAGCCTGGCAGTCACAGAGAACTAACTATTTACATATGATTTATGATTTGTATCGTTTAGTGTATTTTTTACTTAAAAAATACTAAAGACGATCTATAACCATATGTAAATAGTTCCTCTGTGATAGAGTCCATCGTGCAGATATATATTGTTCGTATTTGAAACGCCCTTATTCAATAAAATTAAACGCTCGTATATTTGACGTGATGTCTCGAGACTTCAGACGAGAGTAGACGAAATTTTAAAATTTTAAAAACAAAAACAATGCTGATGAATGATTGATGATACATCATACAAAGTATGTCATATATTCACGGGAGAGAAAGCTGTGATGGTACTGATTTCTTCAACATTTCAGGTAAATAGTGCATGGTATATTATTCTCAGTTATAAACGCCCGACTAAGGCTAAACGCTAAAGCAACATGAGAAATTCAAATTTTCAAATTTATTATTATTGTATTTCAATCCCCATCAGGGGTCATATACAAAGCATACAAATAACTACAAACTACTTAAGTACAAAAATGAAATATAAATGTGTAATGCCCACGGATGGTGGGAAGTCCTCCATATATTACTTAGATAGATGGAGGACCTCCCACCATCCGTAATAATGCCACTAGACCCACTAGTATATGTGAATAAATACATACTAGTATATATGTGGCTAGTAGACACAACATGACAAAGAATATAGATGGTCATAGTCTAAATATTACTAGCTTTAGTACAGTAGATTATACTAAGTAGTGTCCGTTAAGACTACCAAGGGTCATGACATATTATTAATAAACTGGCTTTGTTTAAGTTACATCGCACGATGAAATAAATTTTGCGACCAGGTTTATCTCGGTACCTTCACAAGTCATACAATAAAGGAAGAAATTAAAATTGTCAAGTTTTGAGCATTCGGGGGCCGTCTTTTCTAGCATAAATTTTAAGAATTCTCTCTGGTAAATGTATTTGTGGCATTTTGAAACAAAATGTAATTCATCGTCCACTAAACCGCATGTTTCACATAGCCTTATTGCTCTAGGAATAATTGGTCTGGTGTATCTTCCTTTTTCGATTAATAACTTATGGTTTGAAATTCTAAAGCGAGTTAGTGCTTTTCTTGCCTGTGAACATTTGACATCCAACAGGTAGTTTTCAAAACTAAATAACTTTTTAAATTTTCTATAGGTTGACAATTTGTTAGAAATAGTTGGATCTTTCAAGTCCTTATTAAGTGTCTGACTTACCTTCTAAAGGTTAGAACCCGAATCTTAATGAAACCATATGTCATACCGTAAGTCAGACTCCCAAACGTCAGCTAACTCTTATATTTAGCATGTTAGCGACGCAGTCAGGCCTTGAAAAAAGTAGTAGAGTATAGGCTAGTTGGGGACAAAAATAAATGACAGGTCGATTTTCGATCACCATTTCCTAATTATGGTGGTCTGAAAGCCCATAATTTCCAATATTGTCTAGATACATATCCCTTAAAATTTGTATATTTTACATTTTGTATAATCTCATCCACTGATTTATGGCCTCTTGTAAATTCTCTTATTTTTAACATGGGAAATCCTCACTTCAGCAAATCCACCTGTCATTTATTTATGTCCCCAACTGTAGATTGCTTTGTGTAAACTAAGTAAGTCTGGAGGGTCGGGCAAGCCCTCCGATGAGTGTGTACTTCTTATTAAGAGTATAAGGGAGGTCGTTTTTGATGCTTCCTGAAATTTGTAGAAAATGATTGTTAGATATCATATATCCAGTAAAAACATAAGAAATCCTTTCAATAATCGACATGCTGATTCAAACAACACTAGATCTACAGAGCAAAGTTACCCAAAATGGTAGCAATGATATCCATCCACTAATTGCTGAGAAATCTGAAGAATATGTAAAGAAGTGATTAAAATGCAAAAACCAACAATTTTCACCTCCAAATTATTAGCTCCAGAGTTGATTTCTTCCTCAAGACACGTCCACTGTTAAAAATTGGTAGTTCCTAGAGTTCTTTGTTTCCTTAGGTTCATTCCCGTAGATTAACTAGGACAGCCTATAACGACTGCTATCCGCAAAAAGATGCATGAAATTAGAAGTTTCGAAACTGAAAGTTGAAAAATGGCGACTTCCTGTGTTTCCCAGCCCATTGAATCCTTGCATCCTTTCAGATCATGCAGTCCTATTCACAGGCCTGTCAACTTGAGACCATCTAGGCTAACATGAGTGACTTCCAAATGTAGAACACCTTCCTTCAAATTTTGGACACCTTACTGAACACTGGTCAATTTTGGACACTTAAGATTTTTCCCCCTCGCTAATGCTCGCGGTTCACAAGTCCGTCAACAGATGGGGGGGGGGGTTGGTGCAAATATTTGCATGATATATACACATAATTTGGACCAAATGCGTGACATGAACGGCAATCGCATGCAAAGACCGAACGAAATGCGTTTTCTATTTTTCGTCGTT